ACTCTTTCCTGCCTATGCAGGGGGTCGGACTCGATGATCTATTGAGGTCCCTTCCGACCCTAGCATCTATGAATCTATGAATCTATGTGGGTGTCCATTTTAACTGTAGTCTTGGCAGGCCTGTCTTACCCCAGACTCCCTAACTTCCCTGTTCTTCTGGATATCTACCCAGCAGTTCTCTCCCCCATTTTCTCCCACCTCTTGGGAGTCTGACTTTAAATCCAGTAAAATTATTTTTTCTTCCAAGCTCGGACCCAGAAGCAGAGCATCAAAGTGAATGGCTGCTGTATTGTCTCTCTTTGGTTTGCTGGAATCTGCTCTCCACTTCCTGGGTCATTGTCTCACAATCCTGCTATTGAATGGACTCATTGCATGTATTTAGTAAACTTCATAATAATTAGGTAAAATACAGTCTTCAAAGATCATTATAGGCAGTGCCAAATGCATCCTGTGCACATTCCCCGACCTGTGGATCCACTTGTCATGTACCACTCTGCGTAAGGAGGTCAAGCAGTGTCTACTTAGCTAGGTCTTTCTGACTTCTCTTGAGCCCGCTTCTCCTTTGAGTAATGAGAGTCAGATCAAACAATGTGCATGTTTCAAACTGGTAGCTGCAACTTCCATGGCTGTTGGTTGGAGCCAAACAAAATCCAAATCCCAGCTAACCAGCTGTGCTTTCACTGAAGTTGTAATGCAGCATACCCCTTTATTTTTGTCAGTTTGTGCCTCTGAGAGGGAAAGCACATAGGCAAAGTGAACATGAAACAATACCTGGTGCCGAGACAGTGTTCATAGTAGGTTGGGAGTATACTCATATTGGGATATGGCATTCCTCATTCCTGCCCTAAACTCCTGGGGCGTGTTTCTGTGTGCACAGCAGTTCTTTCTAACTTCAGAAGTGGCTGCACTTCAGTAGTGGGAAAAGAGTCCTGCAAGCTTTGCCGTCAGGTATTTCAGGAATTGTATAACAGCTGCAGAGATTTACACGAGAGAAGTTTTTATTGACTCAGTAAGCAAGAAAATGAATAATCCAAACAGCGTAGTCTCTCTAGAGTTGCTTAATTTGAGATAAATTATATTTTACACCTTCCAGGGTGCTCTGAATTGTGCATTGATAACATGCAAGTACCTCATAGGTGTTGTCTGGGGGAAGATGGAGCCTTTAGGATCAGGGCAGGGAAAAGCTGAGGCACTTGGTTCCAGAGAGGAAAATGGAGACATTTAGGAGTTGTGGGAGAATCACTTTAACTGGAACATGTGGACCAGTATGCTAGGATTCAAGAGTTAACATACCAGCAGCATGCATAGGGCAGGTCCTACCTCTCACAGCAGCTGTTTCAAGCCACTCAGACTGAGGCAGATATGCTATCAGTTAGGCTCTGATCATGTTTTAAAGATTTTCTCTGCGATTCTGATAATGAGAAATCCACTTCCCTGGCTGGGGGACCAGGGTGTAGATGGGGTCCTCTGTGAAGTGCATATCTCAGTTACTGTTTGCAGGACTGTGGGGGAGGGCAGGTGCTAGCACCATGAGCCTAGAGTAGCCATGAGCTGTTAGAGACTTTGCCTTGTGGCAAAGTTTTATGAATAACTGTGCGCCAGGTGGTCGTTCCTTCCCTCAGGCTGTGCGGCACAGCCCTTCCTTGCAGTGTCTGAGAGAGCTAGTTAGGGACCTGGCCCACAGACTGCAGGGCAGTGTTGGAAAAAAGGGATCCCACTGAACTGTGACATTTTTCCCCATCAGACTGCTCCACTCTTGGTTCCACAGCAAACTCCCTCCTCCTGCAGGGGGAAAAGCTTTCCTCAGGGCCTTTTCCTCATTTGTCTGCCATTCTTTCCAGATTGTCACATACATCCTGAGTTTCCTGCCCATTACTGACAAGAAAGAGGCTGCTCTGGTAAATCGTATCTGGTATTTTGCAGCCCGGGACTCCTTGTGTCAGGTAAAGCCTGCTCTCCTTCCTAGATCTGAGGTCTGTGTAGGTGTGCCCACTCTCAGGGCCCTTGCTGAGCCCCCATCCCCACTTCCTTCCTGCAACCTTGGCTTACATGGCTATGCTTGCTGTTGAGGTCCTGGCTGAGTCCTGCTAATGGATGATTAGTAGGCTCTTAATCAGACCCAGCCATTGGGTCCTATAGCCAGTACTGGGTAGAGCCCAGTGACTGTTTCATGCTGAGGGATCCAAGCCCATTCCAGGGTTAGCCCTCTTGTCTGGTCTCTTTTCTGGGACAAGGAGGCCCATAGCGCAGCTACCCTGCACTCTAGTATTGAGATCCCGCAGTCCTTTGCATGTTCCCCATAGTTCTGCCTCGCGGAGCTCTCTGGTTTATCATTTAACTTCTTAGGGGCTGTTACTAGTTGAAGAAAAAATACAGGCTTTGCAAAGGAGCTGTTTCCATGTAGGTAGTTGACTAATTACAGAGCTAGCACAGAACAGTTAGAGAGCTAGGTCAACTAAGACACCTGGATGTGATGGCTCCTTCAACTCCCTCAGCATTTCTGAGAGTCCTCAGGCTCAGTCAGTGTCCCTGGCAGAAGGCAAAGCCAGTGCTGCCCGACTTGTGTTCCTATGTCTGACAATAGACTGGCACCATGCCTTAGAGGTCCTATCCCTTTCCAAAGCAGGCTACAATACCTTGTTTCATTTTCCACCTGCTAGGGATGCTTCCTGCTCCTGCTCCTATGGAATTGCTGTGGCAGGAAGTCAGTGGTTCAGTGAGGCTAACCCCATTGTCTGACAAGGCAGAACCATTTGGTTGTGGACGGCCTCCCAGAGGGAGCCTGCTTCACCCACAAAATGGAGGTTCTGACACACTCATCAAAGAGCAGAGCATCCTTCAAGGGGCCAATTTGTTCCCCAGGCTGCCTCTCCCCTTCCCATGCATGCCTAGGCCCACAGTGCCATGCCTGAACATGTGCTTATCTAAGTGCAGTCACCCCCAGGCCCAAGCTGCCTGTGCTGGCCCAAACTCCCCTCCCCATAGACTGTATAGACTGGGCATAGACTGCTTCTCCCAAAAAAGGGGGCAGGGGTTGCTTCTCTAGCTACTTGTTTAGAGTCAGCATGTCTCTACTTCCCTTATCACTCTCCCAGGATCCTGAGCTGTCTCTCTGGTTCCCCAGGCCATGCCTCTGGAGCATCAGGACTCCTGCCTTCATGCCTCCAGTGCTTCAATCTCCAGACCAGGGGTGTCACGCTCACTGATGAGTCATATTTCCTGTCAGCAGCCAGGGGGTAGGCCATAGCCAGGACTGCGTCATCCACCCCGCAGGGCTTCTCGTGGGCCAGACAACCCATCTCCAGATCTGAGCCATAAGGCAACTGTCAGCTTCTCTGTGTCAGTGCAGCCAGCACCCAAGGGGCTAACACCACTGCTGCTTCTTCCCCCACCCCCCCACCCCCTTTTCCCATTGCCAGTAGCAAGCAAAAACTGGAAATTCAGTGAAGGGGGGTGGGGGGGGAAAGGAGTGTTAATCCCCTGGGTGCTGGTTCACACCAACACAGCAGCTCCAGCAGCCACAGCAACAAGCCCAACAGACTGGATCCAGAGGTGGATCGTCCAGCTCGTGAGTAGCCCTGCAGGACAGATGACCCATTTTTATGGCCCATATGTGTGACATCCCTGTCCTAGATGATTTCTAGAATCCTAGAGTTTCTCCCTTTCTCACGGGCTGTTTCTGGAGTCCTGCTTCCTGAAGATACCTGTGAAGTTAGATCTGGTCTAAACATAGTCACGAGCACATCTGCCCTGCAGCCTGATAGGTAGAGTTGGTATGTTTCCATCGCTGCCTTGACTGTACTTGTCCTCCTAGCAATTACCCCTTTCCTGTTCAATCCCAGGATAACATTGTCTACAACATCCCAGTCAGTTCCACGTCTCTCAGTGCCATTGCCAGCTTGGGAAGAAGCCGGGTGTGCTGCATCAGCCTGCCCAACCTCGACAGCTCTACCATCTCCAGGGATGTAATCAAGTATGTTGCACATTACCTGGGGCCTCATCTACAGAGCTTGTCTCTGCGTGGGAGCAGCCTGACTGAGGCCTCTTTCATGACCCTTGTTTTTGCTTGCCACTGCTTGTCCTCACTGGATTTGAGCAGCTGTAACAGCCTCTTCATGTCTGGGACCCTGCTTTCCAAACCTGAGACCATGCCTCAAGCTCAAAAAGCCCTGGCCTACCTCCAGGAGCTCAACTTGTCTGGCCTGCGTTACCTGTCTGACCTCAGCTTCAACCGGCTGGTGAGCTGCATGCCACACCTGACCAAGCTCTCACTGGCCCGCTGCCACATCACTTTTGAGTTTGATCCCTACCATGGTTCCAGTCACTACAACTCCTCTTGCATATTGTCCTTCCGCAACCTCCAGTGCTTTTTGAAGGAGCAAGCAAGCAGTCTCCAGGCTTTGGATTTGAGTGGCACAAGCATCACGGCGCAGGCCATGAAGTCCCTGGTGCAAATAGAGAAGCTGCACCTCCAGGAACTAGTGCTTCAGAACTGCCAGGACCTCACCAATGAAGCTGTCAGCTTCCTATGTAAGCACCAGCCTAGTTTGACTCTCTTAGACATCAGCAGCTGTTCTGAGCTGTCTGATCAGGCTGTCCTAGCTGTATCAACTAGTCTCCAAGCCCTTCAGAACTTACGTTTGGGGAAGATCCACAGGCTGACAGATGGTGCTTTTGAGCACTTCGGCCAGCTCAGGAGCCTGCAGAACCTGGATATCTCTGAGTGTAGCCTAGTGAGTGGTAACAAGCTGGTGAAGGCTTTTTCCCACCCAGAGCTGCAACCTAAACTGGCTTCCCTCAGCTTTGCCTTCTGCTCTTTACTCAGAGTAAGTCTTCGATTTGCTGCTATCTTCAGAGGGTGGGGGGTTACTAGACCTGGCTCTGTTGTTCAGGTCACAGATACTGTCACAGGCAGTGGAGGATACACCAGGAGTTCCTGTGTGCTCACATAAGAAGGTTGTTCTGCATACAGCCCTGGCTTCTGTGCCCGGGGCTAGCAAGGCAGGTTGTAAGTGCTTACTACAGTGCTTTGGCTTTTCACTGAATCCTTTCTCTCTAGGACAGCTCTGTCCTCTCCCTGGCCAGGACACTGAGTAGCAGTCTGAGAGTATTAGACCTGTCTTCTTGTGTCTCCCTCACCAACATGAGCATCCAAGCAATTTCCTCCCACTTCACCCACTTGATGGTCCTGCGGATGGCTTGGTGCAGGGAGCTGACAGATTGGGGCCTCCTGGGTATAGAAGAGCCCCAGCAGGCACCGGACTGTGGCAGAGAGGTAAGTCCACACCAGACTTTTGAGAGCGTGATACTGTGGAAGGAATCTGAAGGCAGTTTCCAGTGCTGAGTGTTGTTACTGTTGTGGACACTGTGATGGAATGATCTGTTTGGAGACAGCTGTCAGCCAGGCCATCGTGATGCACTCAGATGATGTGGCTGACATGTGGCTGAGCTTTTGCATCTCCTCTCCACCCCAGGTCTCCCCAGGCTGTTTTTTTTTTCCAGTGGCCTGTGTGAGGTAGTTCCTCCTCCCTTGCTTCGCTGTGGGATGCAAGGCAGAGTCCCAAGGCCACTGTTCAGCAGCGTTTAATCATGGTTCCACTTCTTTGACAGAAGGATGGAAGTCCAAAGTTCA